ATATATATATATATATATATATATATATATATATATATATATATATACACACACACATACATAGATATATGTGTATACACAGATATATATAGATAGATGTATATATGTGTGTGTGTATATATATATATAATGTGTATGTATAGACAAAGCAGAATGTCTCACAGGATAGTATATGCTATCTACACAATATAATTCCATGTCATACAGAATTTCAGTGAAATGACTCTCTTTTAGCAGGTTGGAGAGTGTCACCACGCAGTTGACCTCTCTGGGAATCCCACCATGAGATGACTGGGTTAGAGGACCAACCTGAATCACCAATACATACATTTCTCACAATTGCTTCTCTCACTTGTCACCTAAAACTTTGGCACTTAGCCAGATGCATCTGCTTCACTTTTCCCAGAAGGCTTACTTGTCCCTCATGAAAATTCAGTGCTGGGAGCTCCGCCCATCACCTACTGAACCTGTGGACTTACGTGTATCTCCTAGTAGAGCAGGATGGGGCTCTGATAAGACCCTAGGGTTCAGGGACTGGATACTGTTTGGATTTATAATCCCAAAGCATTAAGCAGCATGACTTGTTCATTGGTTGCACAATGAAATCATCTTGAATTGAATTCTGCATCACAACCCACACATAGACCTTGCTGGAGACTCTTGTCCTTTCAACATAGCCATATGTAAAACATAATTATCAAGTATAATAAATATTTCCCTGGCATGTCTCCTAAAAAGTAAAACAAGCTAAAAGATGCTAATAACCCAAAAGTTATATCCTAGGTCTTTTCTTCTGGCCTTTTATAAATTCTTTCTGGCCTTAGGCATCCACCTAATTTCAAAACTGATCACCCTTTAGATGATCGACCATGGGATTAAACTCAGAAACCTCTTGGGGGTGCTTGGGGGTGTATGACGGCATGTGCTCGCACACCACAGGCTCCAAAGTGAACATTAAAGTCACTTGTGCATGATTTGAGGACGGCAGTAGATTCAACAGATTACATACAGAGCCTATCAACGTAGGACAGCTTGCGGAAGATCATAAACACATTTTTCAGATAAAAACATTGCAGCCATGAACACACCACGTGGTCACCCCTTCCCTAAGGTTTGCTTCTTTAATTGTAAATAGCCAGAAAGCCATCAAGCCAGAGTTTAATAAACTTTTAATTTGAAATGAATTACCACATGTTGTGTTTGTTTACCCATTATTAAATCTCTTAGCAACATATCAGTGGAAGAAACAGCATACTGTATCACAGCCCTGATATATTAGAAAACAAATCCATGGGGGATATTAACTGCTAATAATATGCTTAGGAGCTTCCAAGAAAAATAAATAAATACAAGCAATAGTGAAGACATGTATTCAAAGAGATTTTCATGTTCTGTTTTTTGTATAAATCTGTTCGGAGCAGGAACAGAAGGTCCCTCTGCAGTCTCTGAGTGTGAGGCTTACATCAGTCTCCAAGCTCAGAGCTGAGCAAAAGAATAAGCAGTTTTTTTCTAAAGCATTTTTCTAATGCATCAAAGATGCTCCCTCTCATGGTATAGTTTTCTGAAGTGCCACCTGTCCTCCTCCTTGTAGAACAGGGCAGAACTCTTAAAGCCTAGTCCAAGGCACAGTGCAGTAGGCATGGGAAATAGAGCCACATTGGCCTGGAGAAAACTAGAAAGCAAAACTGATCTGGTAGAAAATGCTCTAAGAGCAATTGTTTCTAATCATCTACTTAGTACCCTAAAATTAGGTTAAAATGTCAGTAGCACTGCAATATTATTAATTAACTCAGAACTCACCTTCTGCAAAATTAAAATTCTAAAATAAATTTTTGAGCTCCATACGGAGCCCCCAAACATTGAAAAAAAACACATTTATTTTGCAAATGCATGCATTTTACTGTGTCTCATGCAGCAGCTTTACGGTTGGCTTTTGAACTTGATATTTAAGTAAAAATCAATGCCATGCTTTCTATCCACTGTATCTAATAAAATCCTAACCAGGGCTTTTATTTCTTGCTTTTCCTATCTTAGGAAAATGATCTTCAACCATCCAAAAAAGACTTCATCTTCTTGTTCTAAATCTCTAGATGGCCAAGAGTCTTCCTCCATTTTCTGTTGTTATAGCAGAATTCCTGAGTCAGCTTTTGTGTCACTGTGACCAAAATAACCAACAAGAACAACTTAGAGGAGGAAAAGTTTATTTGGGACTCAGAGTTTTGAGGACTTAGTCCATAGATGGCCAACTCCATCGCTCTGGGCCCCAGAAGGTGGACAGCATCCTGGAAGAAGGGGGATGGAGTGGGGGGTGGGGGCAGACTGCTCAATTCTTGGCAACAAGGAAGCACAGATAGGAAGAGGCTGCGGGGAAGATGCACCCTTCCAGGGCCAGGGCATGCCCCTGCTGCCCCACCTCCTCCAGCCACGCCCACCTGTACAGGTACCCCTCAGTCCATTCAATCTATGGACTGATGAGGTTACAGATCTCATAGTCTGTTCATTTCACCTTCAAACATTCTTGCCTTGAAGTCCCCACCTCCCAATACTGCTGCACTGGGTACAAAGTTTTCAACATCTGAATTCATTGGGATATACCAAAACCACAGTACCCGGGTCATGCAGAAGATATGCTAAATGTTATTAACATTTTTTACAGAACAAGTGTATCCCAGATCCTCACTCGGGAAAGCCTGACAAATTAGAGTCAACAGAGATCTTGTGTAAAATCAGTCTGCTTCAGAGCCAACTCGATGAGACTTAACTACAATGCCCATGAGGTTCTCAACAGAACTTCCCTACTAGGAAATTTGGAATGAGGCTGAGGCAGGAAGATAGCAAGTTCAAGGCCAGCCTCAGCAACTTGAAGAAGACCCTAAGCAACTTAGCAAGACCTGTCTCAAAATAAAAAAACAAAAAGGGCTGGGAGGTGGCTCAGTGGGAAAGTACAGCTGGGTTCAATCCCGAGTAACAAAATAAATGAGGGCTTTATGCATAATATGTAATTTTTTAAAAGAAAACATATAAAGCATATATGGCCAAACAGTAAGAAATGGCAAATCAGAGGAATAAGTACTATTGTATGTTGTGTTATTTTTCATACAGTATAATTAAAATATTTGATAATTTCTAAGGTAAATCAATGAAAGTGCTACTACAGGGCTTGTCACAGGTGATACCTCCAGTGTTACCACAGTGCTCCTAATGAACACTATCACTGCTTGTGTGGGTCACCAGTCCCCCACCACTCAAACTATTACTTACTGATAGAGTATCCATCCTGTTAAGGAAACTTGGAATCTTTCGGTAAAACAAATAATTCTTTAGTACAAAAGATAACAGTCTTTAATATATCTTTTCTATAAGTGGGAACTTTTGAAAATTAGAATACTTTTAAAATTTTTATTTGCTTACTTAGTACTTGATAAAATCAGTCTTTAAAAACAAAGTTTTATCAACTATATTACCTGAGAACTTTTTCCTGAGAATATTTGATCTTTTCTATTTAGTTTTTGGTTAATACTTTCAAGAGCACACTCAAAAAAAAGACTAAAATTTAGAAATGAGCTCCAAAAAAAAAAAAAAAAGTTCAGTTACCTCCCCCACCCCTGATAAAAACGTTCAGAAATATTCTAAGAGCAATAAATCCATGGAGAAAAACTTCTGTTTCAATGAAGCAATTTTATGTTTCCTTGTGCAATAGATAATGCAATAGGAAAGCTAATATTCTTGTCAACAGTTACATTCTTTTTAAGTGGCTTGGTATAGAAAATAAGATCTTAATAAAGAATATGCACTTCTTACTAAATTTTATTTAATATAACACCACTTGAAATATTAGTAATAGATTACTAAAAAGTCAAATCAACCTACCCTGAGAAGAGTGTAAGGTGGATTGAGTTCCATTATCCATAGATGCACATATATTTTTCTCAGATTTTTTCTCCCAGGGGCCAGATGTATCATGTACACCTAATTTTCCTTTATCTCCTTTAACCAATAAATGCATTGGAAATTCAGTGCCAAGCTGAGTATTGCTTTCATGATTTTTTTGATGATCCAAAAGCAAAGGAAGTTTAACGACCTTTTAAGAGATAAAAACTATTATCAAAACCATTAAAACTAATATAAACGTGGTGTTTTCTTCTCTACAACAATGAGACAATCTGATAAATCAGAAAAGTCAATAATGAATTCAGTTCTCCAGAACTTATAAGCTCTCATTTGTTTACATTACAAAGAGTGAATTCTGTATTAACCAATTTACATAATTGCTACAGATATTGCCATGCCCTGTATATGTTTATTAGGATTGTTTCTTTTAATTTATAATTTTTAAATTTCCTTCTTAACAACACTGTTTGCCTATCATTTATACTGGGAGGAAATTAGCAAATGTTCATTCAGTATTTACTGTCTCCAAGAATAATGTTCTAAGTTGAAGAGGAAATGACAAGATTGTAGAATCTAATAGTGAATAAATGGGTGCTGCATATGCAATATTTGTAACTTTTATGTATGTTTAAAATTTTAATGATAATAAGCGTTTGGGGGAAGCCATCCCTGACATAAAAAATGAAACACAAAAAAAAGCAACCGCAGAAAAAGTTTCCTGAGAAAGAGTTATAGGTTATCTCACCTGCAGAATTTTCTCTCTTGGGTCCTTACACACATTCTGCAGGGGCTAACCTAGAGTCAGCCCATTATGGCCAGCCTTCTCCATAATGCCGAGGGTTAGTAGCCTGGATGCTGTCCCTAATGACACTCAGGCCAACTTGAGAATGTGACACCCATGGCTAAACCACACACCCTGGCTCCGTGTGCACCTCTTGGACCTGGATGATTTCCTTCCACTAACTGACCCAGGAGGAAAGTGACCAGAATTTCAGTGGATTTCCTTGTTTCCTTCATATTCTCTTCCAAACCTGAATTACAAAAACCAATTTCCTGTTCCATCATCTGCTTTATCCTATTCTTCTCCTTCTAATTTTAAACTATTCACTTTTGAATAACTCTGTCATTTACTTGATCAGAAATTTTTTCATTTGAGAAAATGGACACTGAGAAAAATCCACATATATTAGAATTTCACATGAAAGAAAAACGGAGCTTTCAGATAAGAACTTCTCTTTCATTCTCACGGAAAAGAAGTACCTAAATATCCACTTATTCTGCCCTTCTTATCAGAAAATCAAATACCTTTCATAATGCACTATGCCCTTAATAAAGACTCACTCACTCCCCCATGAAATATACAGAGAGAGAATCTTATCATTGTCTATTAAAGTTAGAAAGTTAATAGACAAGCACATCTATCTGTAACAACGAACAGCCAACTAAGCTCTACAGATAAATCATAATATCACTTTTTCTTCCACAAATTTTTTTTAAAAATAACATGTCAGAGGGGGAAAAAGAGAATTATCTTCAAATGCAAGTAGATTTTCATCGATTTAAACTATTTTAATGCTAACAAATAATGACCTTTTTATTTTGAAATTCCAAGCCTCATTTCTTGATTTAATCTCAAATATAAATTCTCTTTATAATTAACACAACTACTGCTACTACTACTACTACTACTACTACTACTACTACTGCTACTACTGATTTCCATACCTTATATAGACATGATAGATGGCAGACATTCAGAAGGCAAAGATTGCATCTTATCTCTTTTGTATCCTAGAACTGGCAGTGTCCAACACATAACAGAAGCATGGTTAAGTACTTTTGGTCAGGAAACACCAATAATTTTGAGATGAAGTGGTAGTTAAAGATTGTGAGCTGAGAATCAGGGGGCTCAAGTACTGGTTCTGGTCCATTCACAACATAGAAGATTGTATTAAATTATCTTTAACTTTTTCATTAACTTGTGAATTTTAGTTCTTATTTCTACAGATTAATTTAATTCATGTTATCAGAAATCAGCATTAAGAGATAATTACTTTCGCCATTTTATGAAACTTATTAAAATGTTCAATGGCATGAAAGCAAGATAAAGGCTAGAAAGAAGCAACTTTGGAAAATTTAAAAAAAATGTTTCCATTTACACAATCATATCACAAACCTGAAAATAAAGATTGCACAGCCAGTGGTCCAAGTCCAGGCAAATCAAATCTTCAATTTTCCTAAAACTTCTGGATTTCCGGTCATAATGTCCTCGGAGAAGGGGACACTTGAATTTTCCTTCCACTACATCCAAGTTGTTATCACACAGGGGAAAGATTGCCCAGCCCACAGCCTGGCCAAGGCAGGCATGTTTCCCACGAAGGAGAAAGAGTTCAAATAAGAAAGCTATGCCAGGTTTCACATCTTTCCTTTGGGGTAGTACCTAGGAAAGACATTAAGACAAGAGAAGATTGGGATGCTTATATGTTTAGAAACACTCTACATTCAGTAAGGCCTACAGACAATTTAGAATTCAGTAAAAAGTCAGTCTGCACTCCTGTTTTTGACCCTTAAAAATTCACCCACTGGATACATTTACATAAATAACCCTTCCAGCCACAGGTAATTTGCAATCATGAAAGCGTGACCTGCCTACCAGAAGATTTTATATTTTATGAGCTTTAGAAATAAACTTTGTAATATTAAGTAACATGGTATTTGCCTGAGCTGGTCCCTCTATTATTGTATGGTTTGAATGTGTTCCCTAAAAGTTCATGTGTTAGACACTTAATTCCCTAATTCATATGGTATTTGGATGTGGTACTTTTGGGAGATAATGAGGATTAGATGAGGTCATTAGGATGGCATTAGTGGCTTTACAGGAACAGAGAACTGAGCTAGCATGCTGGCTCCGTCAGTACATGATGCCCTCCGCGATGTTATCATGCCATCAGGAAGACCCTTACCAGAAACCAGCACTATGTTCTTAGTGCCTCCAGAATTGTGAGCCTAATAAAATTCTATTCTTTTTCAATTACCATGTCTCAAGTAGTGTGTTATACCACAGAAAACAGACTAAAACAATTACGTTACTATTTCTATCTTCCATCATAACCATTATTTTGCATGACTGTCATTTATCTTTGTATCATTCAGGTACACAGCTCACGTGCTCTGCAGGGAATAAATGCTTTCTTAAAAGTGGTTGAACAAACTTTTACACTCCAGAAAAACAAATCCTACTCATCATGACAATGCAAATTATTATTACAAGGTCCATCAGTTGAAACTGAAAAAAAAAAATGGAGTCTCATTTAATTTTGTGACTAGTCCGTTTATTTTAGTTGACACTGTAATACATATCACTATATGAGCAATTTTTCAGTGCTTCGTAAATAACACCAGATATAAAAACGAATGAAATGATCAGATTGCCCAAGCCACTGTGCAAATTCCCAGATGTAGAGATTGAGCCTTTTCTTAGGTCTTTTAAAAAAAAAAAATCAGGGAATTGCAAAACATAAATAATCTTTTATTTCAAAAAATAGATTATACACTTAAGATGTATTTTTTTTTAAGTTTTATGTGAGTAATTTAAATGGACAAAGACAGGGTCTAGTCTAAGATTGTTTTACAATATATTTAGCCAAAAGTGTGTAGATAATATTTTATACAATTTATGTAAATATCTCAAGACTTAGTTTAGAAACAAAATGAAACAGAGGCATCTGTTGAAAAATACCATAACCCTGTGGCAGCTGCTATTAAACCATTAACAGGATCAGGTTTCATTTAAACCAGATTTACCATTTTCTACAACTGCCCATGGGAAAGCTAAAAACATTAGGCACAAATTATTGACAAAAGAGATCCTTAATCAAGCCGTACTTTTCATTTGGCTAGTTGGCTGTGAGTAACATTTGTGATAACAGAATCAGAGCTAAATGAGGAGGGGGAGAAGTGGAGTCAGAAATCTAAATGATGGGATCATCATTTAGAAATAAAATTGAACAGATGCTATTAACAATAAGTTTATCAATTTTTATCTCTGCATTTAGAAGTGAAAACCAGTGCCCTTCTTACACTAACCTGGTCTTATTCAACAGTGCAATCAAAGTAAATGAAGTAAGAATTTGGCACTAACAATTCTATTACTAATTTTGTTGTCATTGGGGCAAGTCAGTTTTTTTTTATATTTAAGTTTCCATATACTTGAGTTTCCTCAGCAATTAAAAAAAAAAAAAAAAACGGATCCTCTTCATGGAGTTGACAAAATCCTCAACTTAGACAATAAATTATATGGTAAACATTTAAATCTGTTAATGCTCAGAAAAATATAAAATTTACATTATTATTTATTAAGATTTTATTTCAATTACTTCTAAGATGACTTAAGTAACAATTTCTTTTAATAAAAAGGAAAAGTACATATACAAGAATGAAATATATTGGTAAACATGTAAAACACCAGTATCCTTTTGTGCATGAGAAATAGTTCAGGGGTGCTGAGACCAACAGAGGACACTGCGCAATACTGTGTCACCTGCAGCAATGCATAAAAAGGACTTCACCTCAACCTGCTCCACAAGATAGAGGGGTCATATGCTACCACCCTGATGACTCCTAAAAAAAATGAGTATATGAACAGAATGTGACATACTCACTGATACTGACTACAAAGGAATATAGGAGCCATAAATTATTAAAGAAAGGAATTTATGTGACAACAGTTGTCTTCCCTTATTTCTTCCCCTAGCATCTTTCCCTTGGTGCCTGTTGTAGGAGAGATCTTTTGCCCTTTAATATGTAGCTTGGGACTTGTTCTTTTGGTAAGAAAGATCACTAAGTTTCATTGTATCTCTCTCAGAGGATCCTTTCCACAAACTTGAACATTTCCACAGATGTCCTATGATGGGACATATCCCTGAGTATTTTTCAGTAAGTTTGTAACTAAAAGCTAAAAATTAAGATATAAATGCATGGGTCTCCCCCAATGTCAACTGCCCATGCCATCTCATCACAGAGACCCTGCTAATGGAGGGCATCATATTCTCAAAGCACCTTTATTTTCCAAATACTGTAAAATGCCACTATTTTGAAAGAAAGAGATACTATAGAGCTCAAGTTCACTACATAACTTTAGGGTGATCTTCTGCATCAAAGAAGGTACATGTGAAAGATGAGTGCATAATAAGTAGAATCCAAGAAGCAAGTAAGAATTTTAAAGACCAAATGCTGAATGGGGGATGAGGAAAGAAAGCAATATTTTTTTTCGCTTGGACACCAAATACTTTGAAATTAAAGCAATCCACAGAGTTCATGACAAATGACTCAAAATGATAAAAATGCATACTCACAATGTATTATCCATGTTTTTTTACTTTCTGAATTTTCTATAATGATTATAATTCTTGTAATCAGGAAAAAAATGTTGATAAAATGACTTCAAAAACAGAAGGTCTTAAGAAACTCACTGAGACCCAACCTCTAAATAAAATACAAAAAAAGGGCTGGAGATGTGGAACAGTGATTAAGTGCCCTTCAGTTCAATCCCCAATACCAAAAAAAAAAAAAAAAAAAAAAAAGATAGAGAGGATCTTCAAGATTCTGTTTCTGCTTAATGGAGATGGTTGCAAATGTCCAACCATCTCATCCTAACAAGAAAAAAAAACCCCAGTTAATATGTAAAATGTATCTTTTTGAGCTCATTGAGAGCTGAGGAAATGAGACACGGGCTAGGGGGATGCAAGTCTTTCTAAATTATTAAGGCACCCCAGGAATTTCAAAATCATTAAAATATATGTTCAATAACAGTCATGATAGCAAAGTACTAGGAACAAGAAAGAAGTAGACCTATCATTGCATAGAGGACTTTGTGAAAGAAAGGAAACACTGGCTGAACTTTGAATACACTAAGGCTGTTGTGGAATACTGAACAGTTATGAGCCCCAAACACAGTGAGTCCTCACTACCAATTCTCAACCTTAGGATATTTACCAAGTGCCCAGCAGCACGTGGCCAATTGGTTCTAGGTAAGAGGCAAAGTAAGATTTCCACTGTCCCAAAAATCTTTGGGCAATGCTGGAAAGCAGAGCACAATCTCAATAAATGGTGCTTGAATATCAAGCCCAGAAGAAGGAGGGACCTTTTACAACATAAAGCTTTGAAGCCAGTAATATATTCAAACTAACTAAAGCTGCCATCCAAACCCAATTTAGCTCAATTCCTGATTTAAACAAAGACATTAAGTTCCTGATACAGAATCAATATTTTCTATCTCAATCTCTATAATTTATATATACACAATGTGTATACCATAGGCAACTATGAGCCATCTCTGGCAGCAGGAAAATGTGAAACACAGATAAAAGAAAACTAGTCAATAGAAACTGACCTATAGATGACACAGGAATTAACAAAAAAACTTTTTTTGGGGGGGTACCAGGGATTGAACTCAGGGGTACTAGACCACTAAGCCATATCCCCGACCCTATTTTGTATTTTACTTAGAGACAGGGTCTCACTGAGTTGCTTGGTGTCTCGCAGTTGCTGAAGCTGGCTTTGAACTCGAGATTCTCCTGTCTCAGCCTCCCAAGCTGCTGGGATTACAGCGCGTGCCACCATGTCTGGCACAGACTTTAAAATAATCATTATAATTAGGATAAAAAATTAGAAGAAAAGATGGAAGTAATCAGTAAAAGTTTGGAATATTTCAGGAGAGAACTTTGAGCTGCTTTAGAACAGATATATAAAACGTTTGAAAAGATAAAAATCATTAAATTGTCTTAACAGCATAAATGAGCACAACAAAGAAAAGATAGGTGAACCCTAACGTAAATCAATAGAAACCAAAGTGCAAAAGCAAAAAGAATGAAAATGAAAAACAGGTCAGAGACTGAAGTACCTGTGGAATAATAATAAGCAATCTAACACACATGTAATTGGAGTCCTATCAGGACAAGGGAGAGATGATGGTACCCACACACAAAAATGTTTTTGAATAAATAATGACTAAGCATTTTTCCAAAACTGATGAAAGACATCAGTCTACAAAACAAAGAGGCTCAGAAAATCCCTAAGCAGAAAAAAAACACAAAATAACACCTAGGCATCTCATAGTCAGATTAATGGAAATAAGAATAAAGTGAAAATCTTTAAAGTTTCCTTGATGATATCTAATTTAAAAAACTTCATTATTGACTATCCAAGTGACATCCTTGATGATGTATCCATATTTTCTTATCACAAAATCCTGAATTTAATATAAAAAAATGTTCTACATTATATGGAAAATCTAATTTTCATTCTTTTGCCCAGCTTCTTTGCTCTGAACTCTGATCATATAGATCTACTTTTCTTTTTGACACTGAACAAAAGTTTCTTATACCTTTTGCTGTTTAGTGGGATAACTCTTGCCTAAATGACATCAGATTACAACCTTAT